TATTCACTGTCGGGAAGTTTCAGGGAGAGGGAGATAATTCAGCTGGTTCAAAATAAAAAACACAAAAACAACCCTCTGAAAACCGAAACCGCCACCATCAAAACAATAGATAAAAGGGACAGACGAGAGGAGGGAGGACAAACCTATTCCAGAAAAGCTGTGCTGTTTTTGGCTTCAGCCAGCAGGATCTAGCAGTTTGCATAGAAAGTAGTTTATTGTCAGCAAGAGACGAGGATAACTGCCAACAATGCAAAGCCATTGGCAGCAAGGCATCATGCCTCGGAAAGGCCTGGGTGACAGATCTATCCTTTTGTCTGTCTGCTGGGCCAGCCTTTGCTTTGCCAGCCCTTAGTTGTGCGAGCTCCTTGCTTATAGCAGCTTCGTCTTCATTGCGCTTTGGCATCGTTGGCCAAACCCTCTGCTGTTGTAGGTCAGTCATACGTCGTGGTTCAAGTTGTTATTCCATCTGAACGTTGTGCCTGAGTGTTTCACATTCTCCTCTGTTCATTCAGGGTTCTCTTGTCCTCTGACGTGACCTGCTTTGAATGAGCAGCGCTGGGATGCCCTTGTGTTATGGCTTTGCACACATGAAGTGAAGGAGGGCCTTCCATGACTTTGTTAAACCTCAAGACCCTGATTCATCCCCCTTACTTCCTCCCAACTTCATTTTTTCTCTTAAAATTGTTAAGGTTGGAAAAGATGTCCGAGATCATCTAGTCCAGCCATCAAGCCATCCCCACCGCGCCCTACCGTATCCCTCAGTGCCACATCCCACGGCTCTGGGACTCCTCCAGGTGACCCCACCGCTCCCTGGGCAGCTGTGTCAGTGCAGAATCACTTCTGGAGAAGGAATTGTTCCTAGCAGCCAACCCGAACCTCCCCTGGCACAACGTGAGGCCATCCCCTCTCGTCCTATGGCCGTTCCCTGCCAGCAGAGGCCGACCCCGCCTCACACAGCCTCCTTTCAGGTCATTGCAGAGAGCCATGAGGTCTCCCCTGTCTTTCTAGCAGTGAGGGCCCTGGCCAGTGCGGGGGGACAGTCACCTCCCTGTATTTTCTTTTCCCCCTGTTTATAGGGCATCATATATTTTTAAAGTCTCAGATGAAAAGCCCGCCATGCCATGGCCAGGTTCATGGAATGCCCTCATCTCAGTGACAGGGTTGGGGTCTTTTTATCATCACCACCAAGGTCCAGCTGCATTTCTGACTAGCTGAGGTTCCTGCAGCTTGATGCTGAAAACAGATACTGTGAGATCAGTGTGTGACTGAGGAACACCAGAGTGCTGTGTGACATTATGAAATAGTACTCTTCCTGCTGAAAAGTGCAGCTTAGGATGTGCTTAGCTCTGTTCCTGCAGTGCAGAAAGTTGTAAACTGCAGCCAGAGCCATCTGGAATAGCGTAAGGAACTCATGAGCTCCCACATGGAGTTTTGGATCACATGCAGAGCATTTTCAGAACTTCTGGGCAACTTGACCAGTTCTTCTTTCCACTCTGTTTCATTGTTATAAGTAGGGCAGATCAGTGATGTCGCTGGAGTGCGTGTTGTCACAGGGCTGCCACCCTGGCTTGGCAGCTACAGGGGTTCGCAGCAAACAAACACAAAAGCACTTGCTGTCTTATTTAAAGAGACAAGACTATTGGCTTTCTGTTTCTAACTTTTGCTGTTTGCCCTTGAAAAGAAGAATTTTGCTTACTCTGTGCTGTTTTGACAGTCCTTCCGCAGAATATCAGATTTTTTTTTTGTATTTTGCTGACTGGGATTTAGCATATATTGAAATCAATGGATCAGGCTTGTGTTTGGTGGAGCTGAGGCTCAGACGCCACCACCTCTGGATGATCTGAAGCTTGAAGTCAACGTAATTTCTGCCTTAGGACAGATAAATAGAAGGTTATGATATACTTTGAAGAAAGCATCTCATTTCACCCACGCATTTTATTTCCTCTTGCTCTATTGAACCAAATGGGGTATAGAAGAGAGGTGACTAAGGCAGGGTTTTGAGGTTGGTAGGGTGTGAGTACTGCTGTGAGACAGCTGCCAGAAAGCTGTTTAGGGCTGGGAGGAAGCAGAAGAGGTTTCTGCAGGAACTTCTGGGTTGCTGCAGCACTTGTGGGTTCTCCCTCCTGCCTTCCCTCCCCTCAGCAACGTGCAGCAGCACTCCGACTGCTTGGAGAAGAGCCTCTCTGCTTGGAAAAACAGCAACTATGTGGAACTGAAACTGCTTAGCTTGATTGCCCGTGTATGTTTATAATTAAGGAAGATGCCTGATGTTGCATTATTGTGTGTGCTCATTTTGAGAAACTCAGGCCACTTCTATCAGTGAGGTTTGTTAACTCGCAGCTCTCACCCGTGCTCACAGATTAAACAAACAGTAATCTCTAAAGTTTGTAAAGCAAGTGGAGAACAATACAAAGTGCCTAAAGCTTAAAACAGTGGTGTTTAGTTTATCAAGGTGCAGACTATTTTATTCATTTATTTATTTTTGCTTAGGAAACAAGTTTCTTAAAGCTGCCTGTGCAACTGTCATTTTCCCCCTTCTTTTTTTTCTTTTTTTTTCCCCTCACTTGAATTTAAAACTACTGGATGCATAGAGCATGTGCTTTTGGCTAAGCAGGCAGACATGACGTCTAAGACCAAGCCGCATTATGCCAAGAATGCCATGGAAAACAGCCAGCTGTTTTTGTTGACATTGCTAAAACAGTTTCACTTTGCAGCACCAATGCAAAGCCAAAGAGGGGAGGGAGTAGGGGAGTAAAGCAGGGAACAGATAAGAAGTAATGAGATGAAGTAATTGCATGTTACGTTGCGTACTGATATCCAAAATCATTCTGTGCCTTGTAAGCCTGGCAGCAAAACACAGGGTTCAGTGTTTGGCTGGAACCAATTGATCAGTTTGGGTCACGAAGCTGTTCCAGAATGCATGTGGTTTGATATGCTGCGCTATAGGAGACTTTAGGTTTACTGCACAGAAACACTTTTTGGTACGCAGCGAGTCGACTTTTCAGTCGGTTGCTTGCCCAGCTGCGATTGCTTGCACTTGCTTCTCAAGATCCACCGTTCTGTTCTTTGTGGCAAAGTGCTGGTGCCAGCTTCTTTAGTCTTTTGCTGCAGTCTGAGACCGTTTTGCTCCAGGCTCCCCACTTTTTTGCTCTCTGCTACTTCGTTGCTTTCTTAGGGAAGATTCTTGTTTTGGTGCCTGTTGGCCTAGGGGCTTGGGGTTTGTTTCTTAGTGTTCTCAACAGCAGTTGCATGGAGTGCTGAAAAAAACATGTTGGATGGCTGTGAAGGACCAACAACAGCATGCAGTGGTTTTGCAGTCAGCTTAGCAAAGAAACTGGCAAGTAAGAGCAAAATGGGTGAAGTTTGGAAAATGTGAAGTCAGTAAATGAATGCACACCTCGTGTTTGAAGGACTGCACGTGCCGAGGCATGATAGAGAATAAGCTCAGACTCCCTGGTCTAAAATGGGTAGCACCAGCTGGGCCAAGGCTTATCTCTTTATCCATTGAATATAAAGTTTCTGATGTCAGTAGGTATTTTTTGATGATTTGAAGACCGCTGAAGTATCTCGGAGGAATGCTCTGGCCCCATTCCCTGTAGCCTTTATAGTTCAGAGAGCCATGTTGGATGGGAATAACGGTGCATTTGGGCTTAATAACCACTTTGAGAGTGGACGTGGTTGTATCCTTATAAAGATTTTTATCAGTTGCTTTCTGCTCTGTGAGAAGCTGCTTACTTCATGTTTCTGAACCGAATGCTTCATAATGCATTGAAAAGCTGTGTCTGGTCTGTGGGGAACGTGTTCAGGAGCCTTCTCTCTGGGATCATCAGGCACTGACAGGACCAGAAGTGATGGCTTTAACTTACACCAGGGGAGGTTCAGGTTGGCTGTTAGGAACAATTCCTTGTCCCAAAGAGCGGTGAGGCATGGCACAGCTGCCCAGGGATAGGTGGGGTCACCTGGAGGTGTCCCAGAGCCGTGGGATGTGGCACTGAGATGTGGGCAGTGGGCACGGTGGGGTGGGCTGGTCGCAGGACTTGGTGATCTTAGTGGTCTTTTCCAGCTTCACTGGCTATGATTGCATTGGAGATGAGATACTGAAATGGATCCCCATTGACCAGTTGGGTGAAAATAGCTGTTCCAACATTTATTACAAAACATAATTCGAAAACAGTGATTGCTCTTACACCTCAGTACCCTGTCCTCTCTGACACAGTCCTCCTGCTTCTGTTTTCTGTGCTATGTGGGTTGCTGAACTCCATCTGAAGTCAAGAGGAACCGCTTGGTCTGAGAGGACAGAGCTTTCCTAACGCCTATGGAGCACATTATTGATTCACAAAGAAGCCTGCTTGACTTCTGTGTCAAACACTGCATCTCTTAGGCCTCATTCAGCAGCAAGCTTGATGGCAGTTGTAAGCAGAAGTGGCTTAAATGTCTTTTCAGAATGTGCGAAGCTTGGCAGTTTGGCCGATATGGATCTAACAGACTAGAAGCAGGGGTTAGTGCTTTTTTGTTTGTTTCTCCAGGCAGCAATGGAGGATGCTCTGATTTTAAATCCATTATTGCTCTGTACTTCCTGTGAGATCTTAGAGCCCCTTGTTAAGAACTTTTTAATAAGGGAAGTTGTGGAGGAACGAACCAGACTCCTCCAGTTTTTGGGACTCACTGGAATGTGGAGCGAACAGGATGTACCTTTCCAGTGTGATTTAAGAAACACTGCTGTTCTTAATACAAAGAGCAGTAGGTTTAAAATCATAGAATCACAGAGTATCCTAAGTTGGAAGGGACCCACAAGGATCACAGAGTCCAACTCTGGGTCCTTTTTGTACTGTGGTGCCCAAAACTGCACGCAGTACTCAAAGTGAGGCCATGCCAACATTGTTTAGTGTGGGGAAAATCACTTCCTTTCCACGGCATGCAGATGCTTTAAGCATTCAGGAACAGGATCACAAGTTGCTTTTCTGGTACAGTCTCATGTATCTACTGTTCTTTTGTTTTAGGTTACGATGCTTTGAGCTACTCTGTGGAAAATGATGGCAAGTGGAGCGGGAGACAGCTACTGCAAGCAAATGAGGACAACACGACGGAAGTCCCAGGGGATGGGGGGAAGCAGAATGTCAGAAATTGCACTGAACCAGGTAGGAATGATAGTTGCTTCCAGCCTCACAGTTGACTTTCTTACTTCCCAGATCTCTGCATTGGTTTCACCTATATTGCTGAAAGGTTTTAGTTATTTTTAGGTCTGTAAACATCTTTGCTGTTTTCTTTGTGAATGTGGACCATATGGATATTGCAGACTCTCTGCAGGTAGGGTTAAGGAGAAGGCGTGCTGTCAGCTAGTGTGTAAGTGTAACATCTGCTGATAGCCAAGTCATGAGGCTTGTGCAAAAAGCTGTGACATCCAAAGAGTCTTAAGTGTTTATTGCATGAAAACCACACACGTTGTTGTGGTCAAATATGCATTGTGAATATGTGTGCTAGAACAAGTATTATTTGTAGCATTAGTTGATTGTCTTATATTTAGTATTAGTGGCTCCAGCAGGTTATTAACTAGACAAATTTAGTTTGAAGTTTCACAGCTGAACTTCTAGGCTTTTCTGATGTGAAATGCATAATACAGCTTTTTCCTCAGGGAAGAACCTTAGCAGGGTATTTCTTATCTCTGTGACTCCTGTTTTTATGAAACTCATAGGAGCTTAATGTCCTTGAAGCTCTATTGCTCCATTACGTTTGGTTGAAGTTGGTTGACATACACAGGTGCTTTTGGAGAAGGTGAGCACAAGCGTGTATCAAATGTGTTTTTCTGCTTTACGTGTCCCACGTTCTCAGGAGTCCAACTACAGCTAGAATGCTAACTGACTGAGTAGAGAGATTATTTAGCTGCGGGAGATGAGCTTATGTGCTCTTTCAAATTACATTTCCTGAGCTACTTGGAGACCTGACACAGCCTTTCAGGGAGGCTGTAAGAAGGAAGGGGACAGACTCTAGCAAGATCTGTTGTGATAAGACAAGGGGAAATGGTTTCAAAGTAAATGGGAGATTTAGAGTAGATATGAGAAAGAAGGGTTTTTTACACTATGGGCAGTGAAGCACAGGTTGCCCAGAGAGAGGTGGTGGATACCCCATCCTTAGAGATATTAAAGGTCAGCCTGGATGGGGCTCTGAGCACTGATGGAGCTGTAGATGTCCCTGTTCAGTGCACAGCAGTTGGATGGCCTTTAAGGGTCCCTATAATTATAATTATAATCCTATAATTCTGTGATTCTATATACAAAAAAAATTCCACGGATATTAGAAAAAAAGACAAGGGGGTATCTTTTCAGTTCACATCCAGTTGATTGCATCTTTTTTCTTTTTACCCAAACAGAAGTCATTGAAATGTATCACTAATAAGAAAGGGAAAGCTCCATAAGCTGTTCAGTCCTTTATTTTTTCCTTTTCACAGAGGAGCTTGGGTATCATTTCCCCTAAGTTCAAGGGAGGGATCGGAAAGGTGTTTCTTCATTCTTCAGAGCTTATGTAGGTTATGCACCCCAGGAGAAATTCTAACAGATACAGTTCTTGCTGCATTTCTCTGCCTGTAATTTTTCCTCTCCTCTAAAACTCACATTTCAGGACAAGTGGATGATGACATTCTTTTTTTAAACAGCAACAGTTGGTACAAAGCAGTCTTCTTATTCCACTCTCACATGTTTGCATACCTCCTGTGTAGTGCAGGTCCAGTCTTTCAGCCTCACATCATCATATATAGTAATCTCTCCCCCCCCCCCCCAGCCCAACTTCCCTCAGTATTTAAATATCTGCTTTCTCACCATCCTCACCTCTTTCTACCACCTTCACTAAATACAATGGATTGTATGAAATGGATGGGATTTTATTTATTGTGTTTTTCCATCTCTTTCTTGGAAGATAAAGCATCAATACTTACTGAGCGAACTGTGTACTGTTCAGGAGAGAGAGTAGAAATACTGATGTGCATTACTGCTTTTTCTCTGACTTGTCATGGAATTACTACAGAATACATCCTGTGATGGCAAACAAAGTGGCATTACTGTAGGTAAGAAGGCAGAATGAACAAGTTTGTGTTGCATTGGTTGTTTCACAGATTTTTTTTTGTTATTATGTTTTTAATTTTTGTTTTTAGCATTAGGATCTAAATGTAAATCATGAAAGCTATGCTGCACAGCAGTCAGAAGTGTTTGACTTGTATTGTTTTGAATGGGGATGGGGCTCTTTTGAAGTCCATATGGGATGTATGTGTTGACTCCAGTGGGATTTCAGGCCACCTGCAGAATATTTCAGTTCTACTTTTTCAGCAAACGGAAGAAGTAAAAGAAGAGTTGATGGAAGAGATGCTGTTAATAGCTTAGAAGTGTTTGTGTTCGGGACGTTGGTTGTGTTCAGTAAGACATGAATGAGCAAAGTGTTCCTAGTGGTACTTTGAGAAGAATTTCAAATAATTTCATTTTCCACGTGACTCAGATGCCAGGTTTCTAAATCCTGCCCAAAATGAGCCGCTGGTTATAAGCCCATACAACTTCAGCTCCTGCCTGTCTTTCCTGATGCAAAGAAGTGATACATCTGTTCAGGAAATTGAAATGGAGCCTGATGGTCGAAGTGGGCTGCTGAAGTTTGCTTAGGCAAAAGCAACTTTAACTTCATCCAAGCAGCATTAATGTACCCCAGTACCTCAGGTTTACATCTAAAGCATCAGAAAGAAAACAGAGATCCTGTCTGCACTGTAAGCTGTCAAATCATAAGGAAATTATATAAAATTAAGCATTTTACCTTCTGCTGTCTGTTTTGGGTTAGAACTTGTAATAAAATGAAGTAAAACATTTCTGACAAAAATCCTGTTCTGAAACTAACTGCATCTCTAGCTAGAATTCTTGTTTCATGGATTTATTTTACTCATTATTTATTTGTATTTGGTTAAAGGGTAGAGAGGAGAGAACAAAGGTTTTTTTAAATTTTGTTAGTGCTTACTAACTGTCATCTGTTGTCATCTTTAGCTGTCCTAAAGAGCTGTGTTGTTGGAGCTGATAGGAAAGATATAAGAAATTGCACTTGTGCCATCAGAAGATGCTGATTCAATACAATCAAAACCTCCTGTTTAAATGCAGCTGGCTAATTTGATTCATTGGGTTCCAAACAGTGTTGCTCATCCTGGGCAGCACCTTCTGTGCACATAGGAGTCTACTGAGGAGCTGGATCTGCCTGCTTGTCCTGTTGCTTTTGAGGAGGGACTCTCATACCTGGAGGTGCAGGACAGCCTCGTAGTTCCAAAGCCAGTTCCTGGGTGAAGGCCCTCTCCTCTCCTCTCCTCTCCTCTCCTCTCCTCTCCTCTCCTCTCCTCTCCTCTCCTCTCCTCTCCTCTCCTCTCCTCTCCTCTCCTCTCCTTC